AGGTGGGGCTTAGCTGGATGAACAGAAGTTTGGTAGAAGGAAAAAAAATGGCATTTCCCACAGAGGAAAAAGCACCAAGGGCAAGAGGAGCAAACTTGCTCCAGGGTGGAAGGGAGAGACAATACTTGGCCCCAGTCCTATTGACACATCCTCTGCCTCACCCACAGACCCTTTCTCACTCACTCAAGATGGCTGACCAGAACCTGGAGAAGCTGAAGACAGAATCAGAGCGGCTGGAGCAGCACACACAGAAGTCAGTCAACTGGCTGCTCTGGGCCATGCTCATTATTGTCTGTTTCATCTTCATCAGCATGATCCTTTTCATCCGCATCATGCCCAAACTCAAATAAAGGCCTGATCCAACCTACATTGTCTGTTCTCTGTCTGCCCTCCACCCCTGTCCGGGGTGCTCTCTGGGGTGGGTGGCAAGATGGGAGAGTATTTGGAGGTTCCTGAGAGCCACAGAGAGTACATGAGCAGAAGGGGAAAAGGTCAGGATAGTGGAGGAAATAATTCAGCAACCTCCCATTTCCCCCTATACCTCCCCTTCACCAGACAAGGCCAGGCTCCAAGAGCTCCCAGTCTAATAGAGTTGGCGCCTGGTAAGGCCAGGGTGACATCTGGACATGGGGGAAGAGTGAGGCTGTATCTGCAAGTCAGCCTGGAAGAGGGGGCATTGGCATTGGACCTTTCTTGAAGGTGGTGACTTGGACAGGGCTCAGCCCAACCACAGCAGTAGCCTGAACTGTTGGGACACTACAAAGGCTCACAAAGTCATATAACTAATAAGCAAGGGTCTGTGGAGGGGCCACCCTGCCTATGTCATAGTCTTATCACTTCCGATAAGAATAGGGTATCTTTGTTAGGACCCTTGAAGGGGCCATGAGGTGGGAGTTGCAGGAGAATGGTGGGTTTCAGGCTCTATTCACCCCTTCTCCAGAAATTGGGGGCAAAGCCTGTGAGGAAGGTGAACCAGGAAGTTCAGGGTGATGCTCCCAGACTCAATAGGACCACGAGCGGGCATTACAGGGATATTCAAGGTGGAGTCACATGGATCCCCACTACCATGAGTGCAAAACCACAAGGCAGAGCTTCTTAAAGCTCTGGTGGCAACTTTTTAATAATAGATCATGAGGGCCTCCCTGGTGGCACAAGGGGTTAAGACGCAACCTCTGAAGCTATCTGCAGCCACTGCAGCACGAGTTAGATTCCCAGCCTGCCAATGAGTAATCCACATGGCACAGCAGACCTCTCCTGACTCGCCCGCTGCTCCCCTCAGCAGTGTGTTTCAGTCAGTCTGACTGTTCTGTCCCCACTCTGTCTCTGGTGAATCCTCTCTGGCCTGTACCCCAGTTCTTGTATAAATAAATCTTTAAAGAAAAATAATAGATCATGAGTCTCACACCTGAGATGCAGAGGTTCAATGTGCCACATAATATTTTGATCGACAAGGGGACCATATATACAATGGTGGTTCCAAAATCCTCAATGCCTGATGACATGTAGCTATCTACTATAACACGGGCAGCAACCTCCTCCAGCTCCCAGAGCTGGCTCATCACCCTCTTAAGACTAGAGCTGTCACACTGCTTATTTCCCATCTCGCATCTCTTTATACTATCATTTTCCTTAGTGCCTTTTTTTTTTTTAAACAATGTTGTTTTCTTGGGCCTCCACTGGTGGCGCAGTGGTAGAGCGCTGGGCTGCAAAGCTGCCCGCAGCCTCTGCAGCACCGGTTCTATCCCCGGCTGCCAGTGAGGGTCCCACATGGCGCGACAGACCTCTCCTGCGCGCCCACTGCTCCCCTCAGCAGTGTGCTTCGTCAGTCTGCCTGTTCTGTTCCACGCTCTGGCTCTGGTGAATCCTCTCACCCTCCCGCGCTTCAGACTGTACCCAGTGCTTGTATAAATAAATAAATAAATCTTTAAAAAGAAAGAAAGAAAGAGAGAGAGAGAGAGAGAGAGAGAGAGAGAGAGAAAGAGAGAGAGAGAGAGAGAGAGAGAGAGAGAGAGAGAGAGAGAGAGAGAGAGAGAGAGAGAGAAAGAAAGAAAGAAAGAAAGAAAAAGATCTAACCATTTATGCATACAAGAACTGGGGTGTAGTCCAGAGGTGCGGGGCTTGGGGAGAGGGTGGTGAGAGGATTCACTAGAGACAGAATGGGGAGCAGAACAGGAAGACCTACTGAAATACACTGCTGAGGGGAGTAGCGGGCAATTCAGGAGAGGTCTGCTGCACCATGTGGGTTAGCTCTCTGGCTGGGCATCAGACTTATGCTGCAGTGCCTGATGATAGTCTGACAGTGCCAACGCTTTAACCCCTGTGCCAACAGGAAGGCCCCTTTGTGCTTTATTTTATCTTTTTTTTTTAAAGATTTATTTATGCATACAAGAACTGAAGTACAGGCCAGAGGCACGGGGGTGGGTCAGAGGATTTACCAGAGACAGTGGGGAATAGAACAGAGAGACTGACTGAAATACACTGCTGAGGGGCACAGCAGGCAAGTCAGGAGAGGTCTGCTGCGCCATGTGGGTCACCTCCCTAGCCGGGGATCGAACTTGTGCTGCACTGACTGCAGATAGCTTCATAATGCTAACACTTAAACCCTTGTGCCACCAGGGAGGCCCCTAAATTCACCTTCTGTATGAAAAAAAAAAAACCTGCTAAATGTACTGGTAGGTCCCATTTAAAACAACCGAAATGAAACACTACTTAGTTATACAGGAAATCAACAATAAAAGAAATGCAAGTAAATTCTAAACTTTTTCAGTTACTAAATGCAGTGAGATTTATAAAACTTTAAAAATACTCTTGAGGGAATCCAAGATAACACCAGGGCTGACAAAATTGTAAGAAAACCAGCAATTCTCTCACTGTCTGTATAAGCATCAATGGTGCGACCTGAACAACGTGAGAACATCCTCCCAAATTTTAAACCACCACAAGTTCCCTTTCCCTAGGGAAAGACACTTCTAGGAATTGACCTGACAGGCAATCCTCCCACAGGTAACCAAAGAAATTTGCACGTGAATAATTTTTGCGGTATTGTCTGTAGTGAGGAATATATTTTTGCTTGTTTGTCAATTTCCCCAGGAGACACAATTAACTGCTCCCTTTGGTCCCAGAACAGGGTGGGTAAGAAATTCATTTTTTAAAAGATTTATTTATACAAGAACTGGGATATAGGCCAGAGGTGCAGGGGGTGAGAGGATTTACCAGAGACAGAGTGGAGAACAGAACAGGCAGATGTACTGAAAATACACGCTGAGGGGAGCAGTGGGAGACAGGAGAGGTCTGCTGTGCCATGTGGGTCAGCTCCCTGGCCAGGGAGTGAACTCCTGTTGCAGTGGCTGCAGATAGCTTCAAGAGCTGCCTCTTAACCCCTTGGGCTACCAGGGAGGCCCAGAAATTCATTTTTGTCTCATGTGTCTTTTCCATTATTTTAACTTTCCAAACCTGTCTCTTACTTATTTAAATAAATACTTCTTTTTTAAAAAATTATTTTAAAGGGCCTCCCCTGGTGGTGCAGCAGTTGAGTGCTGGGCTGCAAAGCTGCCCGCAGCCTCTGCAGTGCCGGTTCGATTCCCAGCCGCCGGAGAGGATCCCACATGGCACGCAGACCTCTCCTGCTGCCGGCTGCTCCCCTCTGCAGCGTATTTCATCACTCTGCCTGTCTGTTCCCTGCTGTGACTCTGGTGAATCCTCTCACCCTCACGCATTTCTGACTGTACCCAGTGCTTGTATAAGTAAATAAATCAATCAGTATTTTTTAAATTATTTTAAAGATTTATTTATTTATGCATACAAGAACTGGGGTACAGGCCAGAAGTGTGGGGGTGAGAGGATTCACCAGATACAGAGTGGGGAACAGAACAGGCAGATGTACTGAAATACACTGCTGAGGGGAACAGCAGGCGAGACCGGAGAGGTCTGCTACTCTATGTGGGTCACCTCCCTGGCTGGGGATCGAATTCTGTGCTGCAGTGGGTGCAGATTACTTCATAGTGCTGAGTCTTTTTTTTTTTTTTAAGATTTATTTATTTATGCATACAAGAGCTGGGATACAGGACAGAGGTGTGGGGGTGAGAGGATTCAAAAGAGGCAGTGTGGGGAACAGAACAGGCAGATCGACAGTGCACTGCTGAGGAGAGGAGGGGGCGAGACGGGAGCGGTCTGCTGCGCCATGTGGGTTGCTCCCTGGACGGCCAGGGAATCGAACTCGTGCTGCAGTGGCTGCGGACAGCTTCACAGGCTGCGTCTTAACCTCTTGCGCCACCAGGAAGGCCCAATAAATACTTTTATATATATATATAAATGGAGGGAGTGGAGAGGTTGACGTTCAACCGGCAGATTAGGGTCACTAACTTTCCAGCCTCAGAATAGCCATATGTGCACAACCTCGCTGAGAAGACCGCGGTTCTCGTAAACGCTGCTGCGAGTTACTCGAAGCCTCCACTGGCCACATTTTGGCACAAGGTTGAGTTGGCTCTTCCAACCCGTTGAGATCCCTACAGCTATTCAGAACTTGAAAAAACAATAGTGCTAAAACTGGTAGCTTCAAACAGCTCCATTAAGGAAGCGCTGCGTAAGTCTTGGTGGCCACTGAGGTGTGGATGTGGTTTTACGTCGGCGAGCTCATAGGCAAGCGTGCCATTAGCTATAACGTTTGAAGACCTATCTTTTACATCTGATTCTATTTGGTTTATTGAGTGTTCTGGGACCAAGCGTGATCAGACAGGTATCTGAATAAGATACTGTGTAAAAAAAATTAACTGGTGAGTAAAGAGATAAGTCCCCCACAAACCACTCGGTTTTTCGGGGTGAGAGGGGCTCCAGACACGCAGCTGACCCCCGCCTCCCTCAGCCTGAGCCGGCACGTCCTGGGCGAGGGACCACTTCCGGGACGCTCAGGCCCCGCCCCCGCCGCAGCCCCGTGGGTGCCGCCAGACCCCGCCTCTCCCAGCGGAGCTACCCCGCCTGTAGGTTCCGCCTGCAGTTAGCGCACAGCGGGACGCAGGCGCCTCTCCGGGAACGAACCAGACTCTGAGCTCCGGACGCTGGGACAGGTAACCCCGGGCGAAAGCGGTTCGTGCGGCGCGCAGCTGGGGCGCAGGTGCCGGAGGGCTTCTCGGGGCGGCCCCCGTCGGTTTGTCTCGCCCCGCCGGGCGCGGCCCGTAGCGCGGGGTTTAACGGGAGCAAGCCCCGCGATGCGTGCTGACGTCACCATTGGCGTAGCTCCCTTCCGGGGTCCGCAGCCTTGGGGGCAGGGTCTGGGGTACCTTGATGGCCAATCGCGTGAGCCTGTGCTGACGGCCACCAGGCTGAAGTCGGCGCCCGCGGCGGGAGAGTTGGCTGCCGCGGGGCCCACCTCCTCGCGCGCCCTCCTGCAGTGCCCGGCCCCAGGCGCGTCCTCCTACCATGTTCGCAGGCTTCCCGCCGACCGCCCCCGCCACGCGCGGGCTGCGACACCGCCCGCAGGACGCGGCCATCGGCCCGGGGACGCCCGAACGGCTCCTCCCCGGGGCGGATGCCCTCCCGGGAACCCCCCGAGACCCGCGGCCTCCGGGGTCACCCGCAGAACCACCCGCCTGGCCCTGGGCCCCCGGTGAGTCTAACCGGAAGGAGAGTTTCCCAAGCCTAGCTTAGGCAGACCCAGTACCCCCAGTTCGAATGACCTCGGCTTCTCACACCCTCGATAACTCCAAGCCGTGATTTCCTCGGATTCTGCAGCAAATGGTGTCTCGAGGCACGGAAACCAGCACCCACCGTCCTCTATGCCAGCCCCAGCCAAGAACAAGACCCAAGAGGATTGTATTTGAAGATGAACAAAGAACAAGACCCAAGAGGATTGTGTTTGAAGATGAGTTGCCCACCAGGGCTCTCCTGAACACCAGGAAACCTACTGTCACCATCCCTGGAGGACCTACGCCTAGGCCCCACTCAGTGCCTGACTATGAGCTGTTAGTGTCCTCCATGTCATTCCTGATGCCTAAGGACTGGGAAGTAGAAAAGGGGCACTGGAGTTTTTGCCAAATGAATAGAAGTTTACTAAATGGTGAAAAAGAGAGCAAGGGCATTGGGGCAGGGAACACGGCATGAGCAAATAAAAGCAAATTACACTGAGGGAAAGGTCCTTTAGATTCTCACTCTGACTTCCCACCCCCTCAAATCTGCAGTAAGTACCCACCTGTGAGCAATGTGAGGGAACGAAGAGGATATGCTGCGGTATTCCGGGACCAGTACACAGAGTTCTTGGAGCTCCAGCGGGAAGTGGGCTCTGCACAGGCAAAGCTGCGGCAGTTGGGTGCACTGCTGGACTCCCTGCCCCCACCCCAAAGCCAGGTCAGGAGCAAGGCAGAAAACCCAGCTCCAGGCCCTCTTGGATGGCCCAACCCTGACCTCCCAGACACCTGTTCAGTCCAGATCACAGGCATAGGTCTCATCCTCTTCCAGGCTGGGTGGGCACCCTAGCATGTTGGCCAAGGTCAACCCTTGAGGCCCTGCCTATCCCAGTTACTTTGTCTCTCAGAGCCTCAGTTCCCCCATCTGCCCTTGGGTCTAGCACTCCCTGAGCCCCTTCTTCCTCCTTCCCTTGCAGAAAGAGGCCCAGTTCACTTCTCGGGTCTGGAGGGAGTTTGAAAAGAAGCAGATGGTGAGTTATGCCTTCTGAATCTCACAGCCTTCAAACCCCTGACACTCCCTCAGAACTGGGACTTGTGCCCAGTTTCATGGAAAGAAAGCTGAGAGAAAACAGGTTCAGAAGGAAAAGGCAAAGGGGTGAGCAGCTTGAGGGCTGAAGGCCAAACTACCGAAAGGACTTTCCTAGCTCTCCCTGCCCAGGACCCCAGCTTCCTGGACAAGCAGGCTCGCTGCTGCTACCTGAAGAGCAAACTGAGGCACCTCAAGATGCAGATCCAGAAATTTGACAACCAAGAAGACAGTGAGGGATCAGTGTACTTCTGAGCATCCTGGCAGGCAGCATTGGGACACACCAGGTGGGGGTCCCACCCTGTGCTTGCTTCTTTTCCTGCCTCCCAGCCTTAGCACTTGCTGTTCACCCCGCCTGGGCAGCTTTCTCTGACTGCAGAGACCTTTGAGACTGCACTCTGATGCCTTCTCCTCCAAGAAGCCTTCCCAGAACCTACTCCAGGACCTCTAGCCTTGACCCCATGGGGACCCTAGACTCACCCTATCATCCCTGGAAATCAGGTCCCCACTCTCCATCTCAGTGGAATTAACATTTATTAAATACAACTATGTGTATCTACTTAACACTTCTGGTGCCACTCAGCTGTTACCTAGAAATTGTTCTTCCTTTTTTAAAATTTTTTTTAAAGATTTATTTAAGCATACAAGAACTGGGGTATAGGCCAGAGGTGCAGGGGATGAGAGGATTCACCAGAGACAGAGTGGGGAGCAGAACAGGCCGATCTACTGTAATACACTGCTGAGGGGAGCAGCGGGCGAGACAGGAGAGGTCTGCTGCGCCATGTGGGTCAGCTCCCTGAGAGCCCTGGAATCTAATTCATGCTGCAGTGGCTGGCAATAGCTTGATGGCACTTGTCTTTAACCCCTGCACCACCAGGGAGGCCCTTGTTCTTCCATTTTTCCAGAGGGGAAATATCAAATTTTCAAGAAAAGGACTTGTCCGTGGTCTCCAGGCAAATTGTGAACCCTGGTCTGTTTAGGGTGTTCCCTCTACTTCAGCCTCTCCGTCAAGAGCCTCATACGTTCCTCCAGACGGAAGTTGAGGGACTGACCTGACCAGACTTGGAGTAGGGGATCTCCCTGGGGCCAAGAGTTTCCACATGTCCTGTAATGGAGGCAGCATGGGCTAAGGACCCTAGAGTCTTGCTCAAGGAGCCACATCTTGACAACTTGGCTGCAGGGATGTTGGGGAGGAGGGAGGTGGGAGTGCTGGGGATTACCTGACTAGGAGCCTTGCTGGAGGCCCTGATGCCAATCCAGATAAATGGGCCCACTTATCCCTGGGTACTTCATTGATGCTGAACAGCGCTGACACCAGGCACTATGTGAGCATAGTTCATTGGTCTAACTATGGGGGAGAATCCCCTGGTATCCACCCTGTGTCGGACTCTGGGGAAGGGGGAAGGGGTATTGGCAGGTTAAGTCTCCCTGTGGAGCCACGTGAGGGTGGCCCAGTAGCTGCCTTCTATGTGTTGGCCTCCCAGGGAACCCAAAGGAAGGGAGCATCAGGGTTGCTACTGCAGGCAGGAAAGCCAGCGCTGGCCACTTGGGATATGGATAACAAGTTACAGCATTGGTGCTCAGGAGCTCTTGTCTTCAGGGAAAACAACCCAGCATGATAGAGCAGTAACTGAGGGTTGGATAGCAGAATCTGAACATCCAGGGAGGCTCAAGATGGCTTTTGCAGGAAGGACCACATGGGTAGGGTTTCATTGGAGTAGTTCAGCAGTCAAGCCAGGGTTTTGACCTGGAGACGACTACAGGAGAGATGGCAGTGGTTTCATTCAGTCCTAAGATGTCCTGCAAACACAAGAAATGGGGTGTTTTTGTCCAGCCTGACTGGTGTGGACATACATACTTATCCACAAGACAGCTCTAAAGATACTGACCCGGGACAGAAGCCAGTCCAGCTTCCAATGGAAGCCCAATACCCTTCCCATCCCACTCCCATCTCGGCCCCCTTCTGGGAGCAGGGCAGTCTCAAGATCTTCATTCACTTCATAGGAGATGGCCTCATTCCCATCTTCCCAGGTCTTTTCTGAGATTGACATGATGGAGGCTGGGTGCTAAAGGAGCATTTGGAGGACTGAGACTCTAAGAACATGTTCTGGCCCACCCTGCAGAGTGAGACCCAAGTTCTCTCACTGCTTTCAAGGGAGTATCTTTTTTTTTTTTTTAAAGATTGATTTATTTATGCATACAAGAGCTGGGTACAGGCCAGAGATGCAGGGGGTGAGAGGATCCACCAGAGACAGAGTGGGGAACAGAACAGGCAGACTAACCGAAACACACTGCTGAGGGGAGCAGCAGGCAAGACAGGAGAGGTCTGCTGCGCCATGTGGGTTGCTCTCTGGCCGGCCAGGGATTGAACTCATGCTACAGAGGCTGCGGATTGCTTCATAGTGTGGTGCCTAACCTCCTGCACCACCAGGGAGGCCCTCAAGGGAATATCTTTGATGGAGAGCTTGTCTATACCTGGCAAGACTTGTCAAGACTAAGAGGTACTGCACACCATCCAGGCCTTTTCTACCCACCCCCTTAGAGCCACAGCCCAGACAACCTGTAAGTGCCTTTCCCCACTACAGAGGTAGGCCACAAGACTCTGAGGCTAGGATGTCAGGGACCCTAGTGCCCTGAATCACCGCACATCAACTCAGTTAAGTTCACATATCAAAGTTTATTCTATAGGTATGCATCTCCCAAATGCCAATCTCAGAAATAGATTTATTTTTTAAAGATGTATGTATACAAGAACTGGGGTACAGGCCAGAGGTATGGGGGTGTGAGGATTCACCAGAGACAGAGTGGGGAGCAGAACAGGCAGACTGACTGAGACACACTGCTGAGGGGAGCAACAGGCGAGGCAGGAGAGGTCTGCTGTGCCATGTGGGTAGTTCCCTGGCCGGGGTTCGAACTCATGCTGCAGTGGCTGCAGATAGCTTCATAGGTTGTCTTAACCCTTTGTGCCACCAGGGAGGCCCTCAGAAATATTTTTTTTGGTTACATGTGAGAAGAAACCAAATTCAAGCTGATTTGGCAAGAAAAAGGGAAGTCTGGGCTCAGACTGAAACACCCCAGGATTTCAGGTATGGCTTGATCCAGGGGCTCTGATGGCATCCTGGAAAATTGGTCTTTCTCTTGAGGCTGTTTTGCTTTGCATTGATTATATCCTTCTGGTTCCAGATACTGCCATCAAGCTCATTGATGATATCTAGACCATATGCCTAATATCTGTGGCCAAGGGAATGGAAAGCTCTGTCTAGACTGAGATCATGAGGCAGAGCTAGCCCCATTTGTTTCTTCCAAAGATAATAGGGCACAGGTACCATGATTCAGGGCTGACTAAAGAGAACAGTTTAATACAGAATATGTGTGAATCTACGAGGCATACTCTCGTAGACCAGAGCCTTGACTATAAGCCATCTACTGATCTCAACTCCTGTGGACTCTCTGGCTGACTTGAGGCCCCCACCTTGCCCCCAGTCCCATCTCCACATCAAACTATCCAACAAAAACAGCATGTAGGACTGTTGGTAGGTTGTGGGTATTCCAAAGTTCTGGGAATGAGTACCAATGGTAGGGTGCCCTCACTTTCATCCAGCCCTCAAGAAGATAACAAGGGAGGCTGTGCAGATAGGAAACATTTTTATTATTGGCCTTGATTCGTTCATCATGTAGTGTCCAACGTGGATTACATGTCCAGGTGATCAGTGTGGCACACGCTTAGCCTGCCTGGCTGCCCAGCTGTGGCTCCCCCTCAGTCCAGATGCCAGGACTTACTTTGTTCATCAAGTCAGGGAAGCCAACACCACCATCCCAAGAGTTCATGCTTGGGGCACTGAGGGACAAGGATGTCTGGGATTGGACTCTCCATTCCTGTCCCCCATCTCAACCAGAGGTTCTAGGGAGGACTCAGCTGCAGCCTGGACAATCAGTCTTTTTGGTTTCATGATCATTTAAAAAACAGAAAAGACAAACATTTCACAGTCTTTAAAAAATAGGAGTCTGGGGGGGGGGGTCCTCGGCTTGCGGGAGGCCCTCTGGAGGCCCCAACATCTATGTCCTTTGAGGTCACTGGCCTGAACCATAGGGCCAGTTGAAGGTACTCCCCGACAGCAGCATGTCTCGGATCAGCGTCTCAATGGGTGTCTTGCCAACCAGGCGCATGAAGAACAGCTGGGAGATGAGGGAGGCAGGCACAGCTCGCAGGGCTGGCAGCCGCAGCAGCAGGCGCCCAAAGCGCTGGGGCTGAGATGGGTACTGGGCCCGCACATACTCGGTGAGTGCCACCTGTGCCTTCTCCTGCAGACTCTCCACATGCGCTGGGTCTGAAAGGCCGCAAGCATCTGAGGGCAACAAGGGCAAGGTCAGACGGGTGGGAGATGACAGGAGGATGCAGGGCCCCAGTGGTGACTCAAGCACCACTCAAAGACTGTGGGTATGGGAGATGGGGGTCTGAGCACAAGCGGGGGTATCTAAGGCAGTGTTGGTTCTCAAGAGATACTGAGGTGGCCTTGTCTGTGGAGAACAGCACGGGGTACAGTGATAAGTCAAGGGTGTAAAGGGCCCCCAGATGGGCCTGTGGCAGAGAGACAAGTTCCAATAAAGCCCAAGGGGAAGGCTGGTAAGGGCACTTGGGGAGGAAGGTACCAGGATACCAGAGGGAGTATTCAGACAGCCCAGAGGAGCCTGGGGTATAAGGAAATGTGACAGCACCTAGATGGGAAGCGATGAAAATAGGGGGCAGAGTGGTCCCAGGAATGGAGGTAAGGCAAAACCATGTTTTCCCAATGAAAGCCACCCACAGAGTGGTCTGGGATTGTGGCCTCCCTCCCTGGCCTCAACAGACAACTACCAGGGGCTGAAGCTTTACAGTGGGCAAAGGAACCTGCCCAATTTGGGATAGGGAGATCTGTCCAGAGGCAGGGCCATCCCTGCCACCAGTCACTGGAATGTGGCTGCTGTAGGGCTATAATGGCAAGGGTGGTATTTAGGCAGCCCTCCCACCCCCCACTGGGGAAGTTGCCAACCTAAGTCCCTGTACTATCTAGAATGACTTCACTACCAGGGAGGCTGCACTGGGGTAGTCCCTGAGTCAGAGGGCTGGGTGCCACAAGCATCAGGGCACCCCTACCTGGCAGCCCCCCACAGGGCACTCAATAAGCAGGAAGAGCATGCTAACCAAAGGGTCAGAGATTTAGGAGCATGGGGGCTCAGAGAGCAAGAGTATCAGGGTATGGCTTGGGTCAGAGCTTTTTTTGGGGGGGGGTCTGTGAATCAGGAGTGGGAACATCATGGTATCACTACAGTCAGGGTTTGGAGGGGCCAGGGGTCAGGATACCCGTAGGGTCAGAGGGCTTAATAGTATTCAGGGTGTCACAAGCTTGCACAGCCTCCTCCGCTGGCACTCTGTGTGCAGGGCCACAGGTCTGGCTGGCCTTGGGTCAGGGAGTTGGGGGTTATAGAGGTCACGGACCTCCCAAAGGCTCAAGGCCCCTCACCAGGCGTGAAGAGTGCGATGGCCTTGAGGCAGCCATACTCAGCAGAGTCCACCTGCAGGCGGCCCAGCTTGTCCACCTGCTCCTGGAAGGCGCGGACCTGGTCCATGAAGGCCACGGCTCGCTCAGCTGCCATGGGCGCTGCATGCAGCCCAGCAGCTGCCAGCAGTGGCGCCGTGTGCAGGGGCAGAGCTGCCTGCGCCGCGTTCAGCACGAAGAGCTCGCTCCAGCTGAGGCGCAGCAGCGCCACCTGGTCAGCCACAGGCAGGTCGGGAAAGAAGGGAGCATGGCGAGCCCACTCCACGGTGCTGAAGAGCAGTCGCGCCGCCAGTTCGCACACGTTGTCGATGCCCAGAACTGCGCCCGTTGCGCCCGCGCCGAAACGCCCAGCAGCTGCAGGGTAGGGCTCCGCACGCAGCAGCTGCGCGATCAGCTCCGACACTGGCTGCCCGGGAAAAAGGTCTCCTCCTGCCGCTGCCGCCAGTGCCGTGCCAGGGGGGCTGCCGGAGGAAGCAGCCACAGCTCCAGGCAGTGAGTGCGGGATGCGGCCTCGCTGCACCGCTACAAGGAAGAGAGAAATAAAGACAGAAGGGAAGGGGGGGGGCTCCCAGCAGGAGATGGAGGAAGGACAGTAGTTGAGGAGAGGGGAGAAGTGGTTGGGAGGTAAGGAAAATGGGGAGGAGAGAGGCATGTAGGGGTCAGGAGATGGGGAGGGGAAAGGAGTGGGGGGTCAGGAGATGGAGAAAACAGGGATCAAGAGGAGGGAGAGGTACAGGAAGTAGGGGAGGGGAATAATGAAAATGGGCACAGGAGAAGATTAAGGGGCATGGAGAGACCAGAGGGGGAAGTGGAGTGGCAGGCAGAGGGAGGGCAGAAATGAGAGGAAGGTGGTACCAGAAGAGAGTCAAGGGGTTGGGGGAGAAGAATAAGGCAGGAGAAAGTCAGCAGAGGGTCACTCAGCCCTCCCAACTCAGGTCTTCTGGGACCAGCATCCCCCACCTTGGGCACACAGTTTGTTGGTTTAGCCAGGGGCCAGAGGCCTGCAGGCGCCATCTTGCCCTGCCCTGTGCCCTCCAGCCTAAGCCCTTGTCCAGCCACCCCCTCACGCTGGATTCCAGGAGTTCTGCCCACCAGCCCTGGAGGCTTGATCCCCAATTATGGGGGTCCAAGAGCTGAGATGGGCCAAGGATGGGGCACCTTTCTAGGGCTTGGGGCCCCCACCCTGCCTATCCCTAAAGCAAAAAGAAAGGGTAGCAGTATGCCGCTCAGCCTGTCAGGGTGAGTGGGGTGAAAGGGTAATCTGGGCTGGGTGCCAGACAGACAAATTAATGAGCTTTAATGACAAATTAATGAGATTTTGGTATCCCCTGTCCCAACAGTCAACTCCATAAACTCCTGGTAAGCCACCAGGGAGCAGGGGGATGCAGGTGGGGATAGGGTATGATTTCTAAGTCTCAGGATGAGATGTCAAATAAGTGTGGCTGGATGAAGCCTGAGTGAATTTCAGCTGTAATCCCCGGGTCCTAGGCCCAGGGGCACGAAGTGCATTTTCTTTCCCCACTTGGCTCACTCAGTTCCAAACAACACCCACCACTCCTCCACAATCCAGCCATGTTCTACCTCAGGGCCTTTGCACTTGCTGGGCTTCCTTCCTGGGAACCCCTTCCCCAGCTCCTCCTCCTCATTCATCCCTGATTAGGGGTTCAAGTCCCAACCACAATGCCACTACTCTCCAACTGTTTCCTAATTCATAGGAAACAGATAATAATAGTGCAATGATGACACTTGTCACCAAAATAAATGAAAACCTATCTAACTTGCTTAGTACAGCACTTGCTACCGAGCAAGGGCTATATGGACATAATAAGCCAATAAACATTTATTGAGCACCTTCTGTTTTTTAGATCTTGGTGTAAGCCTTGGAGATAACTCAGAAAGCACCTAAGTCAGAAAACATATAGAGAAAAGGGAAAAAAAAAAACCCACCTGCCCCTGGGGAACATATATTCTGGTGGGGAACAAGTAAATTATTGTTCGAAGTAGATGGTACAAAATAAAGGGGGATGATGAAGGTGGGAAGAGGAGGGAAAGCAAGACTTCTCTGAGGAGGCGTCATTGGAGCAAACCTTAAAGGAGGTAAGAGAGGAATCCATGCAGGTATCTGGGGGAAGAGAACTCCAGGCAGACAGAACAGCCCTGACATCTGACTGTGCTGGGAGCATGGGCTGCCATTATTATCCCCTAAGGCTTTGGGAATCTGGAGCCCTAAATTGAAATGCTTCAGGTGTTTAGGTCAGATGGACTAGTGGAGGCAAAATCTAGGTTGGGGTGCGGGAGAGTCACCCCTAAACTTAAAAGAACCAAAAATGAGCAGCTAGGTGGTTTTAAGAGGAAGACTGGGAGCAGCCTTTCCCAGCTTCTTCCATGGGGGCCCGGAAGAGAAGAATCAACTTTATAGAGCAGGGAAAACTCGGGCTACATGCCAGAACTGCCAGCCAGGCCAGGGAGTTAAGCATGAGGATTCTTATCCAACAGGCCAAATTCTGCTCCCAAGCCCCCAGGCTCTGTGTGCAAGTCTTTGGATACCACTTGAATTCTAAGGGTGCTCAGCACGTTCCACCCAAGTCCCTGGGGCAGAGACAAGAGGCTGGGCCTCTCTCTGGCTTCCAATACCCGGGGTCAGGCTAAGGGTAAGCTGCCCTTTGCCTTAATAGTGCAAGTTCCTGCCTTGGGCAAACACAAAGCAGAGGGTGGAGGTTGGAGGGAAAACAAATCAAATAGAAAAATACATCCTTGTTCAGAGAGCAGTGGCCAGGCTAGGGGATGCAGGGTGGGGTAGGGTCGGGGGGAGTGCTGCAGGTCACTGAGGTGTCAGGACCAGGGAACCTACGTCTGAGTCCAGTGGAACCTAGAAGGAGTGGCCAGGGCACCCAAGAACAGGTATATCATGGGACTGACCGAGTGGGGCATCTCTTGCATCCCCAGCTCCACCAAAGCCACCAGGTGGTCACAGATAATTGGATTCTTCCAGTCCAAGGCCAGACAGAAGCCCCAGGGATCTCAGGATCAGTGGTAATAAGGTTAACAGGCGCCAGGCTGGGCGTTGGCTTCTCCCCTGAGCCTGCCCCACCCCAGAAGGCACTCACCCTCCTTCCTCATGCCCACCCGGAAGCACTTCTTGAGACGGCAGTATTGGCACTGGTTCCGGTGATGCTGGTCGATCTGGCAGTCACGGTTGGACCTGAGTGAACAGAGGTCACTGTGGCAGGTCACTGTGACCTCCACGTCCTGCTTTCTGTGAGCTACCTTTGGAGGTTGCACCTGTGAAACACCAGTGCCCTGGGCTGGGGAGATACCCCCCAAGAGGGCACAGGGGCTGAGCCTGCAGTTCTGCAGAACAGAAAAGACAGATGGAGTGGATGGTGAGGGGTAAACAGTAATCTGTGGCAAAGCTGGGTTTCGAAGAATGAACAGAAGTTTCCCAAGTGAACAGAGAGACAATTCCAGGCAGAGGGTACAAAAGGCCTAAACAGTTTCATTTTATTGGGCTAAAAGTCACATTAGGGTCTTTGTTCCGAGAGAAGGAAATGTGAGAGCAATGAAGGAACTTGGAAAGACAGCTAGGCTTCATGAGTTGACTAACGAACTAGGGGCTGGCCAGGCTGAGGCCCGTTCTCTATGGGGTTATAGAGCTATAGAGCCCCTTCGTTATGGTCTGCAGTACTGAGTGAATGAATACCTGTCTGCACTTCAAGACCCCACATCCACGTCCCTTCCTCAGTGAAGACATTCCAACTTCTAAGTCAGAGAGGTTTCATCTGGGTGACTCTGGGACCATTGTGGCTTCTCCAGAGATGGCCTGGCCCTGTGAGGCAGTGACCTCCCTGCTCATGGTCAGCCCCAAGAGGAATGTTTTTGTTCTCCAAATGTCCCCAGTACCTTGGCTCCTGCCGCAATGCAACCTCTAATGCTCTCTTAAAGATTTATTTATTTATTTATACAAGCACTGGGTACAGTCAGAAGCGTGGGAGGGTGAGAGAATTCACCAGAGCCAGAGCGAGGAGCAGAACAGGGAGACTGACGAAGTACACTGCTGAGGGGAGCAGCGGGCGGCAGGAGAGGTCTATGTGCCATGTGGGACCCTCGCCCGGTGGCCGGGGATCGAACTGGTGCTGCAGAGGCTGCAGGCAGCTTCGCAACCCAGCCCTCAACCGCTACGCCACTGGGGAGGCCCTCTGATGCTCTCTTAACCCTAGGTTCAGTATCCCCCACTGTGCACCAAGAGGGTACCCAAAACTAACCAGAGTAAAACACTCAATGACATTTAAAATCAAACACATCTCAACTGCAGACACCTAGCCCCAACTCCAGGACAACAACTGCTCCAGTGAACATCGTTTCCTGGTCTGGAAATAGGCAGACAGATGAGAGCTCTATGAGACACTGGGTCTGGGGGATTGGGCCAGAATGTCACCCCAGTTTGGTGTCCCAATGGCAGGTTTACAAGAGTTGAGAGGGGGGCCTCCCTGGTGGCGCAAGGGGTTAAGATGCAACCTATGAAGCTGTCAGCAGCCTCTGCAGCATGAGTTGGATTCCCTGCTGGCCAGGGAGCTACCTACATGACGCAGCAGACCTCCCCTGACTCGCCCCTCAGCAGTGTACTTCGGTCGATCTGCCTATTCTGTTCCCCACTCTGTCTCTGGTGAATCCTCTCACAACCCCCCCCCCCACTTCTGGCCTGTACCCAGCTCTTGTATGCATAAATAAATCTTTTTTAAAAAAAAAAAGAGTTGAGACGGGGGTTGGGGGGTCACTTCTGAGTGCCCAATCTTACAGTCTCTGAGCCCAGGCCTCTGCTGCCTGCCCAGCCTGAGCCCCCAATAAGAGGCCCTGCTAGCTCAGAGAGTTCAGGCAGAACCAGAACAAAGCCTGGTGGGCAGGCAGTGGGAGGGTCCTGGGCAACCGGGTGGAAACGGTCAGGCCTGGGGTAGAAGGGGGCCTGGCTCAGGGTCCTTTGACCTCAGGGGAGGCCCTGAAACTTTTGCCTCAACTTCCTCAGCTGCGGGGTCAGAACAGACCTCCTGTCCCCCTAGATGGGAAAACAGTAAGTTCTACCTGTTATCCCACCTAAAAAGCACACCCTTTACCTTGCTCAGACACTCTCCATCGCTGCCCATCACTCTCAGTCCAGCATTTCAAGTTCATGCAGTTCTAACTTCTTCCATATCTGGGCAGTCTCACCTAACGACGCGACCCTTTACCTGACAAACCCTTCACTTTCAAGGTCCGCCTACCCTGACCCATGCTCAGAAAGCCCTCCTGGGATCCCAGATCCATCCCTTCCTCTAGCCCAGCCCAAACCCCACAGGCTGGGGGCACAGTTGTTTCCCAAAGACTAGGAGAGGGCTGGGCTTGAAGTTGGGGGCCTCTGGAGGACTGACATCAAGCCATCCAGCCTGGGCCCTGAGGGGACTTTGCTGAATCCATCTGAGGCTCAGTGAGGTGCCATAACTTCATCAGGTCACACAGCACAGAGGTTCTGAACCACCCAGCCTCAAACAACATCCCCCTCCACCATTTTGGTGCTCCCTGTCCAGGTCCTCAGGATGCCCTGGGGATTCCCAAACCACCTGAGCCTCTCCCCAAAGACAAGGCCAGAAAGCAGATGGTATTCTTCCAGTAGCAAGAATGAGGCCAAAGTCTGGTGGCCCAGTTAGCCTGGGAGGATGGAGTAAGCCAGCTGCCCCATGCACATGGCCACCCAAGACAGGCTTAGACCCCAGACCTACAGCCAAACTTCAGCCTCAAGTGGGACCCTGACTGGTGACCTACCTAACAAGCCCTCTATCAGCAGCTCTCCTGGGAACACCCTAACCCTGGCTTCCCAATCCTATAGTTCCCTTTGCTAAGTCCACACTAGGGCAGGGTCTCTCCCTGCCTGACCCAGGGCAGGTATCACAACTTCCTTGGGCCTCAGTTTTATGCATCTGGAAAACGGGACTCACCATATATCGGGGAGAGAGGCACAGAGTAGGGCTTATCAAAGGGGCAAAGGGTTGCTCATAAGAGTGGTGTGAAAGCACACACACTCCCTACTTCCCCACCCCCACTGGACACCTACCCCTAGTGCCTTCCTTAGGGACCTAGAGCCCTAACACCAACCGGAGCAGCTAGCCAGGCCACGCCCTGCCTATGGGGAATTCAAACTAGGGCAGCCCAGGGTTCCTTCTTGGAAACATTCACCCCACCTTCCTCTGAGCTATGAAGTTTCAGAGGGTTCTCAAGAGCCCCAAGTCTGCACCCTCCCTGGCTGGGGATGCAGGAGCCAGTGGAACAGCCGAGGTGTGGTCAAATCCAGCCGCCCTCCCGTCCCTCCAGCTGCGGTTTCCGGTGACCCAAGGCCCAGGATGAGCCCGGGGGTGGGGGCTGGGGTGGGGGGCGGCGGCGCGGTAGACCCAGTTCGCTGCCCCAGAAGGACCCCCTATGCGAAGGAGGAAACCCTGTGCCACCCCAGCCTCGCCCACAACGCTGCATCTCCTCGGTGGCCAGGGCGACTTTGGAAGTGATATTTGACCCCAAGGGCGCGCCGTATCGATCCGCGCGGCCGCAGACAATGGCCCCTGGACGCTGCAAGCGCCACAGTCCAAGTTCCACGTTCGATTCCCTCCGGGTCCCTCTGCGCGCCCAGATCCCCAAGAAAAGGAATGCCCTGTAGTTAGGGTCCTACCCCTGACAGCACCCCCAACCTCTCAGCGCACCGTGGGGGCCCCAGTCCAAAGAAAAGGGAGGAAAGAGCAAGTAACTGAGGCGGAAGCTGCAAGGGACCACCTGATGGGGGGACCTGCATCGATACAGCGCCGACTGTATACACGACCCCAGGAATGCAACAGAGACATGGACAAGGGTCTGTGCCCCTATCTCAGAGGGGTAATGGAGGCCCAGGGAAGGTCAGCGCCAAGCCCAAGGTGACCGAGCAGGTCAGAGGCCCGGCCCAGGCCGGGGCGGGTCCACCACCGCGGTGAGCTGATGGGGGGCTCACCGACAGGTGTAGCTGAGGTTGCGGCGGATGCTCCGCTTGAAGAAGCTCTTGCAGCCCTCACAGGTGAAGACGCCGTAGTGCTTGCCACTCGACTTGTCCCCGCACACCACGCAGTCCACCTGCAGCCCAGGTCGCTCCTCGTCGCCCGGCTCAGCGTCGCTGGCGGCGCCCGAGGGTGAGGCCGAGTCCTCCTCGGCCGCGCGTGGGTAGCCACCCGCCTTGTCCACGCCGTTCGTATCGCCGCCGCCGCCGGGGCCGCCCCAGCCGCCGGTCACCATGGCCATAGCCCCAGGGCAGCGGGGCCGGGGCGCCCCCTCCGCGATCCTCCCTCCGGGCACCCCTCTCCGCCCGGGGGACCCTACCCGGCGAGCATCCGGCCGAGGCGCGCGGGGGGCACCGGCTGCACCCCCAAAAAAAGTTTTGCAGCAACTTCCTGCGGCCGGTCCGCGCGCCCAGGCGGAACTGGTCTGGCCGGTTCCAGGCCAACTTTCCCACGCGTGCGCGGGGCCAGGCCCGGGGCCAGAGGGGCGCGCTAGAGGCGCGGACCTGGGGCCCCGGGGATTCGCACCCCGCCGCCCTGGGGCCCTGGCGGGGGCGCGCTGGCCATGGCCCGGCCCAGGCTGCGCAGGGGGCGCCCTCTGGCCTGGCGGCCGCACGGCCAGGATATGCGGCCAACTTAGCGGGCCGCCATCCGCGCTCGGGAGGCCGGGGGGAAAGTTTGGCCGCAAGTTGCGCGGCCGCCCGCAGCGAGGGGGAGGGGCGGCGGGCGTGCGCCGGGGCCGGTCGCCGCGCCCCCTGGGGCCCTGGGGCCCCAGGCGGCCGCTCCGGGCCTGCAGGGCCGCGGGCCGGCGCTTCCCGAGCTGCCGCCCCCGCTGCGGCCGCACCCGCCCGGCCTGGGCCTGCGCCTGGGCCCGAGCCTCGCTCTCGCCGCCGCCGCCGACCCCGCGCGCCGGCCTCGCGCTGCGGCCGGTTTGACACACAACGTTCCATTCGCGGGGCGGGCGGGGGGCGGGGGCGGGGGCAGGGGCGCGCGCCGCGGGCTGGGGGCGGGCGCTCGTTGCCCCGGCGACGGCCACCCTTATAAGGGCATGGGTGGCCGTGCGCGGCGCCGGGCGCCCGGGCTGGCGGGAGGGGCGAGGGCGGAGCGCGGGGCCGCTCGACCTGACCCTCCCCTTTCCCCTCCCTCTCCTTCCCCACCAACCCCCTGGCCTCTCTCGGCTCTTGCCTTAACCCCTGCTGGGCGGCGGCGAAAGCCAGTGCCGCCGCTGCCCTCTGCCCTTCCGCAGCCTAGCCAAGATGTCTCTCCCAGGCCCGCCCCTCCACCCCCGGCCTTGGACGTTGCGTCGCTCGACCGCCCTCGAGGTGCCCCTCGCCACCACCCCCCCCCGCATTCCCGGCAGAAGCATTAATGGGGGACCAGTGCCCCCGGGGGGGCACGCCCCTGCGCAATACACGCACGCACCCTAGGGCATTTCTTTGCACAGTTGCTTGATGGATTGTGTTTGCTTCCTCTTCCAGAAAGTCGCTACGTCCGACCTCCACCCCACCCTTTCTCCGCTTGGGCTAACACCTGGTACTGGGATTCTCCAGGGGGAAGGGATGTTGTGATCTGCGACCTGCGGGGCGAGAGGTCAGGGGGCCCCTAGCCTGGATTTCAGGCCTCTGGGGGCAGGGCGCCCACCAGCCCGGCATGGCTAGAGGCGCCAGGAATGTCATCGCTGCTCCTCTTTCCCTTTAATTTCCTTTTCTCTCTGTGCTTTACTGAAAGGGCTTGGTCAGGCAGCCGGCTGGACCGCAGATGTTTTCTTCCAAGTTCCTTGGAGCTTCCCAACTGTCACCACTAACCTCTCTGCCCACTCTGGGCTCCAGCAGCTAGCATTTATTAAGCAAACTTTATATACCCCAGGTCGCCCAGGGCAGGAGAAGCTGAGCTGCTGGCTCTGGGCCTATTAACGTTTAACAGGCTGGAAAAACCCTTTACTGTGACCTTTCACCTTGGAGTCCCTTAGGTCCAGTGACCCAGTCTTATCTCCCGTCCTGCCCTAGGCCCAGAACAGGACACCCTGGACACCAGGGCACGTGGCTGGGCTCCCGAGGCTTGCAGGCCCTGCCCTCTGCCCTCTGCTGGCTTCTATGGCCTCCTCTCTGAGGAGAGGATCTGGGGTAAAGGCATCCCCTTCCCCAGATGCTTCTGAGGGGGCATCCTGGGGGGGAGGGCGTGGCTCAGAAGATGCTTGGAGATCATGTGACACTTGAAAGGATACCAAGATTCTGAGAAAGCCAGGCAAAAAACACCCTGAGCCCTGGGACCCACTGTGTGCAAGGGTTTAAAAGTATAGAAAGCAGGGCCTCCCCTGGTGGCGCAGCAGTTGAGTGCTGGGCAGCAAAGCTGCCCACAGCCTCGGCAGTGCCGGTTCAATCCCTGGCCACAGGCGAGGGTCCCACATGGCGCACAGACCTCTCCTGCTGTGCCCACTGCTCCACTCAGCAGTGTATTTCGTCAGTCTGCCTGTTCTGCTCCTCGCTCTGGCTCTGGTGAATTCTCTCACCCTCCCGTGCTTCTGACTGTACCTAGTGCTTGTATAAATAAATAAATAAATCTTAAAAAAAAATAAAATAAAATAAAAGTATAGAAAGCGGGCCTCCCTGGTGGCAAGGGGTTGAGTGCAGCACTGTGAAGCTATCTGCATCCTCTGCAGGGCGAGTTCAATCTCCGGCCAGGGAGCTACCCACATGGCACAACAGACCTCTCCTGTCTTACGCGCTGCTCCCCTCAGCAGAGTACTTCGGTCTATCTGCCTGTTCTGCTCCTGGCTCTGTCTCTGGTGAATCCTCTTTCCTCCCACACCTGTGGCCTGTACCCCAGTTCTTGAATCATAAATAAATCAATCTTTTAAAAAAAATGTATAGAAAGCAGGAAGGACTAGTATTAGACATGAGCAAGGACTTCCCAAGGGTTTGCTGAAGTTGATTTCAGCTCTGTAAATACTGCTGGGAGAGGGCATACTGGGTGGTTAGAGAAGTCATTTCACTTTGGAACCGCTAGGGAATGCAGTGGCACTGTCTGGTTATTTGGGTTGAGGACAGGGAGGGATTTTAGGTCCCTAACCTGGACTTTCCAAGATCCAGGGGGAGGAGTGTCTTAGAGAAGGAATGTGAAAGGGAGACTTAGAGGGAAGAAAGGATTGGAGGGAGTCAGTGGAGAGGGGGCTGGGACTGAGGTTTGAGGGACAGGAGTCTGGGGAAGGGGCGCTCAGAAGTGATGATCTGGGCTCCAGTTGAAGACCAGGGGAACCCGGAACCTCAAGCGGGTCTAACCTCTCGGCGCCTGCCTCCTCGCCTGCCCACTAGCTCGGCCATGCCCCTCCCTGCCGGCACCCCTTGGGGCCCTCCAGGGGGCGGACAGAGGCCCGGCCTCGCCCCCTTGACCCCTGCCCGCGGCCCCGCGGTGACATTTGACCTTGCGGCGGCCGCGGGCCAGGGACAAAGAGGCCAGAGCCCATCTGCCGCGGGGGCACCCGTGGGAACGGCCAGGCCCTGCGGACGACGGCCTGGGAAACTGTCCCTGCCCTCCCCCCACCCACTACCCCCGCCCGTGCGGCAAACTCAGCCCCCGCCCCCTCATCTGGCGCCAACTCCTTCCCCCGCCCTCCAACAGGTGACCTTGTCTCCCTGTGACAAGGGCTCCCTCACGGCAACCTGGCGGGACTGGGGCCTAAGGTCATTCTTGGGCTGGGAAACAGACTGTACAGCATAAGGACGGTTCCTCTGACGCACTGTCGCACCACTAGGGGTGACCTTGCCCGCCTCAGTTTCCCTGCTTTATTCAAAGCCGGCCACCATCCAAAGACAGTGCAAGGGGTCGGAAGGTCCCCAGCACCAGCACTTGCCCACCCAAGGAATCCGTGGGTCAGGAAGTCCGGGTTGAGTCCAGGTTGCTGAGTGGCGGCTCACCTTGCCCCCACCAGCCACCCCAGCACACACCTGCACAGGTGCGACCAGGAAAACGCCTCCCCCCCCTCCACAGGCTGGGACGAATGCCTTTCTAATCCCCATCTTGGGTTTCAGCTACCGCTGAGGAGGGTCAGCAGGCTACTAATCTGGGCTCTACTGGGTGGCTCCCAGCGGTACCCCGCCTCCAACTTCTAGATCTGTCTGAACCCCAGTAGAGAGCTGGAAGGTGTGGCCTATTCAAATATAATGCTAATCAGTTGCCTGTATTAACCTGAAACTAACACCTCCCTCAACTCCACCTCCCACAGGTGAAAGCCTGAACCTCTCCCCCTGGCATGGGCTCCTCCAGTCCTTGTAGGGCCACAAAAAAACTCATTGCCCGCTCCTGAGTTCCCACTTGCAGGGTCCCAGATGCCACCCACCAGAAGCCCTGCACCTAAGCTACACATTCTTCCAGTGCAAGTTCTAAAGCCGCTGCCTATTCCTCCACGCTGGAGTGAGCTCTTCCAGTGGAAGTTTTATACCCCAAACCATTCTGGTCTCTGTCTTTCTTCTGGGATATGGCATCTTCCCTTTGGAAGCACCAAATCCAGCATCTTCCTGGGAAGGTGGTGGGTGAGGGAAATTATGCCCTGTTCCCAGGGGCCCCTCCCAGGGCTATGGAGACAGATGAGAGTTGGGATCTCAGCTCTGGCTATGTCACCTCACTGACCCCTGACTCTCTCCAACACCACAGATCCTGTTGCCACAGGCCAGACTGCCTCTGGTATGTTCACCTTCACAAGCCACATAGCACCAGGTTAGAGACCCTGAATCTATCTCCAGTGCCTGGTCACCTCCCATCAGATACCCAGGTTCATCAGTTCCATGATGCCAAACATACCTAAACATGCAAAGTCACGCCACATGACATAACACCACTCCAGGATAGTTTATGACATGGCCTGCCACAACTGTAGCATGTCCTGACATGGCCAGGTGCAGGACCTACAGAAAGGTCTCCCCTGACTGGGAAGGCAGAGGGGGTGATCTGGGCCTCCCCAGGGCCCTTGCAATGGCTTCTAAGCCTGCCAACTCCTCTGCCTGTTGGGCCTCCATCAGTGCCAACTGCTGCTCCAGCTTCTTCCGTTGTTCCTCCTGCTTCCGATGTGCTCCGCGGAAGGCCAGGACCAAGGAGCTGGAGGAGGTAGGGGGCTTAGCCAGTAAAACATTTCTCTATCCCACCCCCAGGAGCTATGTACTCCTGGCCCCAGACAGGAGCTGTGTGAGACTGGGTCTTCCTGGGGTCCCACCACCAGGGCCTGGGGATCAGAGAAGGTGAAGTTGGGGAGGTCGGGGGAAGGGGATAAATTAAACTATCACCTGTCTTACAGGGGGGAAACTGAAGCCCAGAGAAAGCCAGGTTGTTTCTGTAGTCACCAGCAGAGGTACAAGGGAGGGGGACCCACCTGTGAGCCTTGCATAAATCACTGTTCAACTCAGCACTCTGAGCATGTCTGGTTCGTCCCTTCTGAGCCACCTTTTCCAGCTCTTCCCGAAGAGACTGCAGTTGCTCCCGCAGACTCAGAGCCCTAATGCAGAGATAGGGGTAG